TAACCGAGGACTCCTATTTGTGGAGAGTCCTGCTGGCTGGCGGAGGAACCTTACATCAAGGGACATATTTCTGGTTTAATCTTAAACCAGCTTTACAATGCCAAAGAATAGAGCAGGTTTTTTTTTTTTTTTTCAAGGCTTCCTCAAACTCACTGAAAGCTCAGCCCATCTATTTCTGGAAGGGCTGAGAACACATGGAGCCCCCACACTCACAGGCACGTGCACACACACACACCAACTCCACCGTCCCGCATGCCCAGCTCCAGGAAGCTACCTTTCCCTTGGAGACGCTTTGTTATTTGGAAAGAAAAAGCAACCCGTGAAAATAAATCTTCAGGTTGCAGAGGATCTATCTATAGGATATTGTTGTCATCCTGATATTCAGGAAATGAAGATGCTCTAAATAGCAAAGGCAGATCGTTACTGCCTTCCAAGGAGAATTGGCAAGAACTCCAAAGAAGGGAAACCGAGTTTGCCTCCATCCAAGTAGGACTGATGCATATAACAAATTTGCTTTTGATGTGGAAGTGATGGAAATGAAAGTGTCAGTGTTAATTACCCCAGGGTAACAAGTTTGTAACACGGATCCCAAAGAAAAACATGCCCCTTTGCAACATGGTCTCTATTTAGCCTCTGCAGAAGGTTTGGCCCATCCCCAGAAGAGGAAAATCAGCCCAGGAAAGGGTCATTTTTCATAACACACTTGTATTCGTTTTCTATTGCTGCAGTAACAAATTACCACACATTTAGTGGCTTCCACAATACAAATGTATTATACTTTTAGAGGTCACAAGTTTGAAATGGGTCTCAAATCAAGGTGTTGACAAGGCTGTGTTCTAGGGGAGAATCCATGAGGCCACCTGCACTCCTGGGCTCATGGTCTCCTTCTGCCATTGCCCCCTCCAACGCTGTGTCTATTGTCTCACCTCCTTCTCTGACTGACCCTCCTGCCTCCCTCTCATAAGGACCCTTGTGATTAAACTGAGCCTATTCAGAAAATACAGGATGGTCTCCCACCTACAGAGGTCCTTACCAGTCCTTTTTGCCATATTAAGATAACAAGTTCACAGATTCCAGGGATTAGGACATGGACACCTTTGGGGGCCATTATTGTGTCTACCATTCAACTGTAGCCTTTTCTGCTTCCAAGGGAACAGGTAAGGAGACCGCTGTGCCTGCTCCAATCTGAGGCAAGCGCAGAAGGCTGTGGTCCTGTTCTTCCAGGTGCGTCATGGAAGATGCAGCATCGAGAGTGTGAGGGATGAGAGTAGCTGGAGCAGGTGGCCTTGGACTTGGCCTTCCTTTTTATTTATTTAGGGTTTTTTTTTTTTTTTTTTTTTTTTGTACATGGTCTCATTCTATTGCCCAGACTGGAGTGCAGTGGTACAATCATTGCTCACTGCAGCCTTGAACTCCTGGGCTCAAGGGATCCTCCCACTTCAGCCTCCCAGGTAGCTGGGACTAAAGGCACATGCCACCATGCTCCACCAATTTTGTAATTTTTTGTAGTGATGGAGAGGTCTCGCTATGTTGCCCAGGCTGGTTTCGAACTCCTAGGCTCGAGCAGTCCTCTCACCTTGTCCTCCCAAAGTGCTAAGAATACAGGTGTGAGCCTCGACACCCTTTTAGAAAGGCCCTTTCTTTCTAAATAACAATGACGGCTACTACCAGTAACTGAACGGCTACTGTGTGCCACACACCCAGTTGAGCATTATGTAGACAACATCACCTTTATCCTCACAACAATTTTGCAAATATTTCTCTTGTTTTATAGACAAGGAAGTAGAGGCTTGGAGGAGCAAGGTGGAGCTCCCAAGATCACACATCTGGGGAGTGATCACACAGATTCAATAACCATCAGACTCAGGATCTGCTCCTAAACACCACACACGACCCGCTCTCCACCCTCCCAATCCCCAGCCTATGGGAAGCCTTTGTCAAGCAGTGCCAGCCCACAGAGGTCACACGGGCCCTGAACGTCTGAACTGCATGACCAGGACCCATGCTCCTAGGGTGGTCCCTGCACATCCTACCTTCTCCTGAAGACCGTGAACTCTTCGGGACAGGAGCAAGGTCTCCCCTTGCCCTGTTATTTCCCCCAGTGACTAGCAAGAGTGCTAGGTACACAGTGGGTGCACAATTAAAGCCTATCTCCTTGACTTACTTGCCTTAGATTTACATACCAGGATGGAGTACATATTAAGCACCACACCCCACATGCCCTCAGCACGGCCCCACCCGGTAAGGTCTTGAGCAGAAGGAAGAGTGAGGACGTCTTCTCCACACAGCCTGTCCTCATAAAACCTTTCATGCTTCATCCTCCAGGGTTCTTTCAGCCAAGATTCTTTCTCCTTTAATCCAGAAGCATCTGGGATCTATGAGCCCTGTATGTCCCTTGGATATGTCTTCTGTGTCTTTGACTTACCAAGTGAGCGAGACCCAAAGCTCCAGTGACACGACCCTTTTGCCCTGGTGCAGAGCAGGGACAGGTGGAAGGGAGCCGGGGCCCGCTCCCACCCTGACCACAAACTCCTCTAAAACAGGCTGTGGGGGCAGTGGCCAGTCACTGCCATTGGTCCCAAAGGTGGAGGCAGAGCTCAGGCAATGACACTAAATTCAGGGCTACTTTCGGACTGCAGGACCAGGAAGCCAATAGCACCTGGCAGTGGGAGGAGATTGTGCTGCGAAGGAGGAAGACTAGAATGACCTTTTCCTGCAGGAGCGAAGACCAGGTTTCTCATGGTCCATGTGGCCAAAGCAGCACCTGTGGGCATGCCTCCCCCTCAGAAAAGGGAAACCCTTGGACTCTAATGATCCAGCCAGGGCACCTAGAGGTTCCTGAGCAAGGACACCCCATCCAGCAGGAGGTGCCAGCATCAGCTCTAAAGTGGCCAAGCAGCTACCAGCATAGTAAGGGGGAAGGGTGGCACCCAGAGACCAGAGAAAGGATGCCTAGAAGACAAAGGCCAGAGCATGAGGAAAGGACGCCTTCCCATCCTTACCAGAGCTGGCTCTGGCATGAGGGCTATTTTGTGGGGATGTGCCATTTCAGTCTGACTCCATTGGTAGCTATATGTTGGCAGGCAACTGGGTGAAAAGTAAAAATACAGAGTAATCAGATGTCCTCTCTGTAATCTAGTTGTCCTCTGGGGTCATATGTCCTCTTGAGATAGAAATAAGATAAGCAGCCAGGTGTGGTGGTGGCTCATGCCTGTAATCCCAGCACTTTGGGAAGCCGAGATGGGATGATTGCTTGAGTCCAGGAGTTCAGGACCAGCCTGGGCAACATAGGGAGAGCTCATCTCTACAAATAATAGTTTTTAAAATGTTAGCTGGGTGTGGTGGTGCATGCCTGTGGTCCCAGATACTCGGGAGGCTGGGGTGGGAGGATGGCTTGAGCTCGAACAGTTGAGGCTGCCGTGAGCCGGGATCACACCATGGCACTGCAGCCCGAGAGACAGATCAACACCCTTAGTAAGGAAGTGCTGGATAAGCAGAAGTATTAGGGCATGTCAAAAGAACAGAGGGGCCAATCCAAAAGAGCTTCAGATGGGCAAAGCTGGAACCATTTAAGCAACAAAATAAAGAACAAATAATTGAATTATAACCCAAGGTACAAAATAAATATATATACGTTTATACTGATATAAATTATGACTGAATAGTGAGGAGGGGTGGCTTCTCCCTACAAAGGATTCCAAACAGTATATTAGATGCATCCTGATCCAGGAGGTGGAGTTAAATCTCCCCACCCCCAACAAGCCTGGGTTCCAAAGAATGTGGTAGAAAAAGTGAAAAATAGTGACTTAAGAGTAGAGAGATCTGGCAGACACCACTTTAACCAAATGATTAGTGTGAACATTACCAGGGATGGCATGCCACGTACCCACTGCTAGGATGCCGGGAGAAGGGCATTCTACCTCTTTTTTTTTTTTTTTTTTTGAGATGGAGTTTTGCACTGTCGCCTGGGCTGGAGTACAGTGGTGCAATCTCAGATGACTGCAACCTCTGCCTCCCGGGTTCTAGCAATTCTCCTGCCTCAGCCTCCCAAGTAGCTGGGATTACAGGTGCCTGCCACCACACCACACCCAGCTAATTTTTTGTATTTTTAGTAGAGACAGGGTTTCACTATGTGGGCCAGGCTGGTCTCAAACTCCTGACCTTGTGATCCACCAGCCTCAGCCTCCCAAAGTGATGAGATTGCAGGCGTGAGCCACCGTGCCTGGCTGGCACTCCACCTCTTTAGTGTTCTTTCCAAACGCCCATAACCCCAGACTAATCATTGAGAGAAACATCAGAGAAAATCCACATTGAGGACATTCTGCAAATCTCCATCTACAAAGGAGTCTTACCGGGACTTCTCAAAATGGTCAAGGTCACAAAAAACAAGGAAAGACTGAGAATCTATTACAGACCAGGGAGAATAAGAAAACATGATGGCTATGTATAACGTGGCATTCTCAATGGGATCCTGGAATAGAAAGAGGTCATTCTATGGGAAAACAGGAAAAATCCAAGTAAAACCTGGAGTTTAAGTAATGTGAATGTGCCAGGGCATGGCGGCTCACACCTATGATCAAAGCACTTTCAGAGGCCAAGGTGGGAGGATCCCCTGAAGCCAGGAGTCCATAGACCAACCTGGACAACAAAGCAAGATCCCTCTCTCTACAAATAATTTTTTTATAATTAAAAAAATAGGCCAGGCAGGGTGGCTCATGCCTGTAATCCCAGCACTTTGGGAGGCCGAGACAGGTGGATCACTTGAGGTCAGGAGTTCGAGACCAGCCTGGCCAATAACGTGAAGACCCGTCTCTACTAAAAAATACAAAAATTAGCCGGGCGTGATAGTGTATGCCTATAGTCCCCGCTACCTAGGAGGCTGAGGCAGGAGAATCTCTTGAATTCGGGAGGTGGAGGTTGCAGTGAGCCTAGATTGTGCCACCAACTCCACCCTGGGCGACAGAGCAAGACTCCATCTCAAAAACAAACAAACAAACAAATAGAATTCACCACAACTGATTCTTCAGTGTGATGGCTATAGCAAGGTAACATATGGTGTTAACAACAAGGGGAACTGGGTGCAGGATATGTGGAAACCTATGTTCTACCAGGGCAACTTCAAATTTTTCTGCAAATCTCAAATTTGCCCAAAATAAAAGTTTACTTGAATAAAAGCTTGAGCTCTAATTGAGGTTTTAAAAAACGTATCCTTTTAAAAATGCATTCAATGAACTCACATATAGAACTTCACCTGCTCAAGGCACTGTTCCAAGTGCAGCACAGATGTTAATTCCTCATTGTGGTATTGTTATCACATGTAACCCCTCGGCTGCTGTCTGGCTCAGCCGGACATTCTCCTCCACTTACTATCCTACCTCTCAGCTCCTGTTTATAGCCTGTGGTCGGCACCAAATCAACCAAGGTTGGTCTCAGCCCCTGCTTCGATTGCCATCAAAAAAAGTGTCGCGTCCTCCACACACCTCCCCAAAACCAAACAAAGGCCATTCACAAAAGACCTCTGTGTGTATCAGATGTCTCTGCTGTTTCAGAAGCAGTGGTTGGGCTTCTCCACCAGACAGAGAGCCTGGCCTCTGACCCCTCCCCCCTCTCTCCTCCCCTCCCGCCCTGGTCTCTAGGTTTAGTTCATGCTGAGGTTGGTCGCTTCTTTCATCCACTGTCTCCTACGCAGTCCGTGCCACGGGGGAGAAGTTTTTCACAAGTGTCCTTTCTTCCCCACAGTGAAGAGACGTGCCCTGAGTCTGGAGTTCAACAGGCAAAATACGGCGTGAACAACTCCTGCACACAAAAAAGGCCCCGAGTTAACTCTGCTGCATAGGCGAGGGGGGCACCGCGCCGCCAGTCGGGGACGCAGAGCGAGCGCGTCCTCTGGGATCTGAAGGCCGCCCCCATCGAAACAGGCATTCGGGGACCTGAGCGTCCCGGAGCTGTGGAGCGGCAACTGAGGCAGGAGCTCAGAGCTGGGGGGAAAGAGAGATCCTGGAAGTGATTAACGTGCCCCTTGCTTTACAAATGTGGCAGATAAAGCCCGAGAGGGAGCCCTGGTTCCTGAGGGGCTGTCCTGGGAGGGAGCGAGGTGGGGAGGGGGAGCAGGCCCTGCCCGGAGCGCCCCGCGGACTGAGCATCTGGCGTGCGCGGCGGAGGGGTTACCGCGGGGAGGTGACACCCTAGGGTGGAGAGGGCACGCAGATGAGCCTGGCCTGACGGGTGCCTGCTTTGGGGAAAGCGGTCTGTGGAGGGAGGGCGGGCGATCGCAGCCCCACGCGGGTTGTGGTGCTGCAGCTCCGCGCCGCAGGAAAGGCACCCTAGCCGGATTCGCCCTGGGATGCCCCAGCTGGGCGCACTCACGCGGCTCTCCAGCGGCTTCTCGGGAATTCGCCTCCAGGGCAATCAGCTCTTCACACAAACATTCGAACCAAGGTGAGGAGCGATCAGAACCAACCAGATCTGCTTTGCAGGCCTGGCCAGGGCCCTAAGCCCCCACCCTCCCGCTCAGAGGCGGGAGAGGCCGAGGCAGCGCGAACCCGCCCCACCGGATCAGCTCCAAGGCGCCCTGTTTAGCGTTACCTCTACGACCCTGGGATGGGCCTGGGCAAGGGCTCGCTTCCCCTGGCTAAACGCAGTCAATGAAGGGGGTTCACTTGCCTAAATACGCCGGGCCCTGCCTGTATCCCCCGTGCAAAGACGCAGGGCCCCTCTCCCTCCAGTCAATGGTCCTGAGGCTTCGGAAAGGGCGGGAGAGTTCGCTTTCCTCCCAGCCCGAAGCTCAGCCTAACAGGGACCTACTTGTGGCGCCAGGTGGCCTCTGCCCTGGATGGGCCCCTCCCCCCCGACCCCTCCAGGAGCAGTAGGTCCCGACATTATCCACCCTGGTAAACTTGCCCGTATGTTACCAAGAGGAGAAAGCTGTTAGACCCTTGTCAGCCGTGAGCTAAGATAATCTAGAGAACAGAAAGGATCCATCAGGTGCAGGGTGCCGGAGGGACATCTGAGCAAGGCAGGCCGCATGAGGCCTCAGGGACAGTGGGGATGAGAAGTGGCACCTTCTTCATTCTGCCTGGAAGCAGGCAGTGGGCCAGGTCTCTTTCAGCCGGGCTGAGGACCCTGGACAGAGCTCAGGTTCCCGATACAGTTCCTCCACAGAATGGGGTGGGAATCCGGGTGGGAATCCGGGTGGGCCCCACCCACTGAGGCTCACCCAGGCTGCAGGAATCCCTGGGACCTAATTATACACACAAATCAGAAAGCGGGCCGCAGGCCCTGGCCATGCAAGGAGAGAAAGAAAGCTGACGCCTGTCCTAGCCTGTCCCCACTGGCTTGCCCTAAAAGCAGCAGGGCGTCTGGTCCCAGAGCCCAAGGACTCACTGGCTGGGCAGCCAATAGCGCCCTATATCAAGAGGATGAGCATGCTGCAGGGAATGGCAGGCATGTGGCCCAGCTGTCACAGTGAGCACAGCCCCGTGGGCCCGCCCGGGCTGCCTGCTTCAGGCTTCTCCCACTCCACAGCCTCCTTCCTGTCCCAGGCTCTGGAGCCAGCAGAGGAGCTGCGGTCAGACCAGCTCAGGCACTTTCAGCCTAGTTAGGAGGACCAGGCAGCTGTAGGGAGGGGAAGGGGAATAAATGCAGCCTGATAATGGGGAGCCTGTGAAAGGAAACATGAGGAGGTCGAGGTCGCTTAGAGGCGAGCAAAGGTAAAAACCTGCTTATGGAAGGTGGAGGGTACTGTTCTCAACACTGGCTCTGACTGACGGGATCTAGAGGGAAACACTCCCTTTTATCTCCCACCCAGGAAGGAGTCTGAGAGCTTCCATGCCCCAGACTTGCCCACCATCCCCACCACCACATCCCCTCCGAACATTCCGTGACACTAGAGACACAGGCTCCATGACTTTATGATCAACCATCAGCCTTGTTTTTCAAAGCTACTCAATGGGAATACGTCTAGCTTTCCTCCCAAGCAGGCGGCTCATTAAGTTCTTGGCCCCGGAGGAAAGATCCTTTCACCCAGTTCAGGGTGGACAGAGATGCCAGGAGACTCGCTGATCAGTCACCAGGCCCTCCCTGAGCCAGCCCTGGGTGTAAGGACCTACATGGGCTCCTAAGGGGCACGTTATAAAGGACACTTGGTCACTGCTCTCAAGGAGTACCTGAGATTAACAAGACGTAAGTCAGAAAGCTGGTGCTGAGGGAGGGTGTCCAAGCAGTTCAAGGCTACCTTCTGCCCAGAGTCGCGGACCCCACGCACACAGCTCCGTGTGCTTGTGGAGGAAAGGCAAAGCAGTTTGAATTCCTGATCAGAAGGGTGGGGAGCACAGTGTGAAGTGAGCTCCCAGGCCTCCCTGGAGCCAGGCACCTGAGGCACTGAGAGACAATGTCCCTGAGAAGGGGCCAAAGTGCAGAGAAGGACGGGGTGGTGCAGGGGATGGGGGAGGGTGGCACAGGAGAGCACAGGGTATGCACTGGGGCCGTGGGCCCAGGGAGCTCCCAGGCAGGGTCTGGATGCTCTTGTCTTTCCCCCAGAGCATGAGAACCCTGGGGAGATGCCCACCAGAGCCGCTCTCCTGGCTCTTACGTTTGGGTTTAAAGCTGTGCTTATTGTCAAAGCGGCTGGGGGAAAGAACAAGCCCTTTGTCAGAGGCCCTCTTCTTCCTTCTACGTTCAGGCAGAGTGTGGGAAGGAGAGGACAGCTGACACCCAGGAGCCTCCAGAAAGGAGAGGTCTGTGACATGGCCAGATGTCCCCACTCTAGGCATGGTCCTCGGGCCCTTGGAGCTATGCTGGGGCCAGGACTCTGCTTCTGCATGCAGTTAGGCCCTGGGAACCTGCATCTCCAGCATCTTGCTCTGAACACGGGGATTCTTCCTGAGGACAGATCAGACATGTGCCCATGCCTCTTCTCCACCAAACCCAGGAGCTGGGAGAGAACAGCAGGGCCGGCATCCATCCCAGGCACACAGGAGCACACATCAGCTCTGGCTGCCCATCTCTCTCTGAGCATTGCAGAAAGGGCGGTGCCGCAGAGCTCCCAGCTCACCCCAAGTTTCTCTTAGCAAAAGAAAACCTGAATTATCCTCTTCTGAATTCTCCTCTTCTGAGTACTTTGAAGGCAGCAGGATGTCCATGTTCACCATTCACCTTCTGGTTTGAGCTTGTCCGCGGTTCTAGCAGGGAACGGTATACACTTGACCACAGAACATTTGTCCTCTGTCAGAGAAGATCCTCCTCTTCCAGCCAGCACGAAGCTTCAGGAGAGATTCACATGGAGCAGTGAGGGAGGAAAGGGATGCTTGCCTAAGCCAGCAGGTGTCAACCCATTTGAATCAACCCTCTGCAGAAGGGTAGCCCCAGGCCTCGTGCCTGTCATTCGCTCTGATCATCTATTATGTGCACCGCACGATAGCAGCAGCCCCCCACCATCTGTTTAGGATCCTTATTATGTGGGTGTCACATGTAAGTGCCTATTAGCACAGCTTCCCTGAGCCCCTCCTGCAGCTGCTACCACCCTTTGGTGCCAAAGCCCAGGCGGTTGCTCTGGTTGACACTCTGTTCTCCTTCCCAGAACCCTGATTACTGCTGGGAGGGCTGGCAACTCCCCACAGCCCTCTAGAGCAGCAGCTGAAAGCGCCTGGTTATTAAAAAGGCGAAGAGCTCCTGATAAGAGAGAGGGATCGCTTTATAATTCCTATGTAGACTTCTAAATTATTCCCTCAGCCCTCATCCTCTGCCACCAGATTCCCCTCCACCAGTTGGAAGGCTTAGTTAACGAGTCAGATATGAGCAGGCGCTGATATAAAAATAGAGGCAGGCAGTGGGAGCTGGCACCGTGACTCACCGTGTGGCAGGCGTGGGGCTCTGCAGACAGCTGCAGGCCTTCTGCCTTCCCCCTCGGCCTCCTCCTCCCCTCACCTATCTCTCCCTGTCCCCTCCTCCCCTCTCCTGCCCCTCCCTCTCCTCCACTCTCCTCCCCTCCTAGTTCCCTCTCCCTTCCTTCCCTTCCTTCCGTTTCCTCCCCTTTCCCTCTCTCTTCTCCTGTCCCTCTCCTTCATCTCTCCTTCCTCCCTCTCCCCTCCCCCCTTCCCTTTCCAGCACCAGAGCACAGGCCTTCGAACAGACCCTGGGTCCAGCCAGGCTATTTGAGCAGGTTTCTCATTTATCATTTACATTCCCTTGAGGCAGTGAGTCAAATGGGAGGGAATGCTGAAATAGCACAGACTCTCATTCTCCTGTGGGCTTTTTGAGTTTTCTGCAGAGAATATTCTAATGACCCTCCCTGCCAGCCCCAAGGCTCCAACAGACTGAGAGGAAGTAAAAAGCCTGGGACCCAGGTCATCCCGCAATCTCAGGCCCAGCCTGCCCTCCTCTCCCCACTAGGCACGCCATCTCCAGGGCTCCCATCCTGACTGGTTCCCCACACCAGTCAAAGCTCCCAAAGGAAGGTGCCCTCGGCGAGCATCCAAATGTGTGAATCAGAGACCTGAGAGCTGTCATTCAGTTCTCCCTCCTACACCCACCGAGGCCCGGTTCTGTGTGTATGTGTGTGTATGTGTGTGTACGTGCGTGTGTGTCTCTCTCTCCCTCTCTCTCCTTAAAACAGTTCAATGGATTTCCATTGCTCTTCAAATAAAAATTATATGTACATTCAGCAGTGGAGGGTCTGCATGGGTTGGGTTGCCACCTGTGCCTTCTCCACAACCCCACGCCACCCCTACCCTCTCTCACAGCTACACGGACCTCCCTTCAGGACCTTGCTAGAGCCGTTAAACCTGCCTTTCAGAGCTGCACTTGCTCTGAAAGCCCTCCCTGACCTGAGGCTCGGTCAATGCTGTCTCATGCCACACCCCTCCTTTGTAGCATGTGTGAAATGTGCACAGAGGTCCAAGTTGCTATTACTTGTTTGTTTGTCTGAGACGGAGTCTCGCTGTATTGCCCAGGCTGGAGGGCAGTGGCGCAATCTCGGCTCACTGCAACCTCAGCCTCCTGGGTTAGACGGATTCTCCCACCTCAGCCTCCCGAGTAATTGGGATTACAGGCACCAACCACCACACCTGGCTAATTTTTGTGTTTTTAAGAGAGATGGACCAGGCGCGGTCGCTTATGCCTGTAATCCTTTCTCTTTGGGAGGCCAAGGCGGGCGGATCACAAGGTCAGGAGTTCAAGATTGTCAGGCCTCTGAGCCCAAGCTAAGCCATCATATCCCTTGTGACCTGTGCATATACATCCAGATGGCCTGAAGCAACTGAAGATCCACAAAAAAAGTGAAAATAGCCTTAACTGATGACATTCCACCATTGTACTTTGTTTCTGCCGCCACCCTAACTGATCAATGTACTTTGTAATCTCCCCCACCCTTAAAAAGGTTCTTTGTAATTCTCCCCACCCTTGAGAATGTACTTTGTGAGATCTACCCCCTGCCCGCAAAACATGCGCCTTAACTCCACCGCTTATCCCAAAACCTGTAAGTACTAATGATAATCCATCGCCCTTTGCTGACTCTTTTCAGACTCAGCCCACCTGCACCCAGGTGAAATAAACAGCCTTGTTGCTCACACAAAGCCTGTTTGGTGGTCTCTTCACATGGACATATGAGACAGAGACCAACCTGGCCAACATAGTGAAACCCCATCTCTACTAAAACTATAAACATTAGCGTGGTGGCTCATGCCTGTAATCCCAGCTGCTCAGGAGGCTGAGGCGGGAGAATCGCTTGAACCTGGGAGGCGGAGGTTGCAGTGAGCCGGGGAGATTGCGCCACTGCACTCCAGTCTGGATGACAGAGTGAGACTTTGTCTCAAAAAAGAGGAGAGAGAGAGAGAGAGAGAGATGGGGTTTTACCACGTTGGCCAGGCTGGTCTCGAACTCCTGACCTCAGGTGATCCACCTGCCTTGGCCTCCAAAAATGCTGGGATTATAGGCCTGAGCCACTGCGCTCAGCCCATGTTGCTGTTTGATCAATATCCACCTCTCAGGTAGACTGCCGGCTCCCTGAGGGCCCAGGCACTGATTTGTAGGTGCTAAGCAAGTGTCGGTTGAATAAATCGGTGAATTAATGGAGGATTGGAGTGGGTGTCAATAAGAAGGGCAATAGCAAGGGAGGGGGTTCTGGATCCATTTGGAAAATAAGCTGAAGCATAATTTCTCAGGCTGAGGAGCAGCACAGCTCCCTCCCATGTAGTCCCATAACCAGGAAAGTACGTGGAGGAAAAAGGACACAGACACTTCCCTGGCTGGGGGCCACGGTGCCTGTGCTCTCCTGTAGCCTGGAACAATTTGCTTTGCCTCATGGTGCCCAGGGCTGCCCCTTGGAAAAACTACAGCCACCTAGTGCAGGGCTGGGACTAGGTATGGGGAGTGAGGCGCATCCTCTGTGCTGGTGGTACAAGTGCACGTGCGGATTCGGGGGCCTCTCATCTCATCCTCATCCCGGCCTGAACCAGTGTTTGCTTTGCCCATGTCGGGAAGAGATCCCATGATAATTTCAGAGATGCTGAGTTTCCTGGTTTTCAAATTCCTGGTCTCCAGTTCCAGCGTGGTGTGGGAAAACACATGCAGCTCCCCCATCCCCCAACCCGGGGAGAATGACCCTGGTAGGTTCCGCCCCAGGGCACCTGGAGATCTGAGCATGCGTCTTCCTGGGGCCTCGCTGTACCTGCATGGACTTGCTTCCACCTGCCTGCCTTGCACTGAGCCCTAGAGGCTGAAACTAACATTAGTGGAAAATCCAGATTCTAGAAACAGATGACATGCGCCCTGACATGTGCCCAGGGATGACAGGCATCCTTTTGAAGCATTTACTTGAGAAGAAGTTCAAGTAGGGCTAAGTTATTCCATATAACTATATTCCATATTGTGCCTCTCCGTGCCTGCAATGGTAGAGATACTCCATAAGTATGTGTTGATGAATGGACAAAACGAAAGAGAGGGAGGAAAGTGGGGGAGAATCTTGAGCTCTGTAGCATTGGAAGGAGAAAGAGTACAGTGGAGCCTTTTTCGAAGCTTTCAAGGAACGTGCCATTGGAAAAATGTGACTCTCCCACTTCTAGCTTGCTCCCTCATCCGGCAGAAATCTGCTCCTCCCTCTCCCATGGCAGAATGGTATTGGAGGGGGAAACCCAATGGGCTAGGCAGAGCTAGGACTAGAACTCAGTCTCCTGAACTCCAAGTGTTCTCTTTCCACGGATGTCTTCTGAGTACATCCAGAATTGCTCTGGTGCACAGGGCAGGTCAATGAAAGCAGCAACTTGAGCTCCTTCCAGCAGGTGCCGCCTTGCATCACCTATGATCCCGTGTGTCATACACGTGTATGACTGTGTATGATCCTCTGATCCCCTGCCCAGCCCAAGCCCCTAAGCTCCTCCATCTGTCGCAGAAGCCTGGCCTCTGGTCATCAGCAGGATTGTGAATGGATCCGCCCAAACTTGTCTCTGCTACTGGAAAGAGAATTCTGGGCTGCTGGACTAGTAGAGCCTTTCTTTTCTGTTTAATTATTCATTTGTGCCTTTTGATTTAATATTTTTAATGTTAACATAACACGTATTTGTTGAAAATATGACATTGGTGGAAACATTGAGGTACAAAAAGGTCAGGAAAAAAATCCCCCGCTCTTCCACCCACGGAAGCTGTCATGGTGATTTATCACTTTGACCTACTTTCTTCGTCCCTTTCGCCCTTCGTTCTTTTATTTATTTATTTATTTTTTATGTTCATGGTTCAACTGATCCCTGTTGCCACATGGCACATTAGCTTTGGGCTGCAAGGACTCCAGGCATCTCGGCCTCCCAGCTGGTGGCCTGTCATCCTGGGAAAATTTTCAGATTCAGTGCATTTTTAGGCCCGGGAAAAAGGCAACAGCTTTAAAATAAGGCATCAGAATTTGGGGCACACTTTCCGAAGCCTACATGTGAGATTTGAGATGTTTTTCAGGAGTGGCTAAAGACAAAGTAGGGTACGTTGAGGTCTATTTTTAGGGATATGGTGGGTTAAATTCTTGGGACTAACACTTCTATTGAAACCAACTAAAAATGCTTGATACAACTTTTTTTTTTTTTTTCTTGAGACAGGGTCTTATTCTGCTGCCCAGGCTGGAGTGAAGTGGCACAATCTCAGCTCACTGCAGCCTCCACCTCCTATGCTCAAATGACTCTCCCTCCTTAGCTTCCTGAGTAGCTGGGACTTCAGGTGCATGCCACTACCCCCGCTAATTAAAAAAAAAAAAAAAAAAATTTCTTTTCAGGGGGTGGGGGGCAAGGTGAGGGAGAGCATTAGGACAAATAGCTAATGCATGCGGTGCTTAAAACCTAGATGACGGGTTGATAGGTGCAGCAAACCATCATGGCACATGTATGCCTATATAACAAACCTGTGTGTTCTGCACGTGTATCCCAGAATTTACAGTAAAAAATAAAAAATTATATATATATATATTTGTAGAGACAAGATCTCACTATGTTGCCCAGGCTGATCTTGAACTCCTGGGCTCATGATCCTCCTGCCTCAGCCTCCCAAAGTCAAAGTGCTGGGATTATAGGCATAAGCCACCATGCCTGGCCTAAGATATTTTTTTAATCTTCTTATAAACACTGAAGAATTGATGGATGGTAAAGAATTACTAAGCCAGAGTGGGGCATTACGGCATGTGCCTGTAGTGGCAGCTACTCAGGAGGCTGAGGCAGGAGGATCGTTTGAGCCCAGGAGTTCAAGATCAGCCTGGGCAACATAATGAGACCCTGTCTCTAAAAAATAATAAATAAATAAATATTTTTTAAAAATTCAGACCAAAAAAAGAATTAGCCAAAATTTAAGAAAAGCTATAAGTGCAAGGATTCTAGAAATAGCTGTTGTTCAGAGAGTGTTTGCTTATTCCAACTACCTCGCACTGGGGTTTAACAGCTTTGCAAAGCCTGGGATCTCCTTACAGGAAACTAAGACCCTGAAAGTCTA